ATCACAATGGCCCATACCTGTGATTCGAGCACGCTGAAAGGCTGAAGCAGGAGGATCACAAGTTCAAGTTCAAAAGAAAACAACTCAAGAAAAGAAAAATGGAAGAAGGAAGAGTCTTCAATGGAAAATGGATGAGTGCTTTTTGTTGAGAGAAATAAGGCACCCTGCTTAATTTTGTTTTTTTTGTTTTTGGTACTGGGATGTAACTCGGGTCCTTGCGCTTGCGCAGCAGGCGGCGAAACTACTGAGCTAAATCTCCAGCCCCACCCTGCTTAATTTTGTAAAGTCACTTTGTCTCACCAGACTATAACCAGACAATTGAGGAAATGGGGAAAAAGCTACTGAAAAAGATTTAAGAGTGAAGCTGCTAATTTCAAACTTTATTCTTTGGCAATAGATGAAAGTGCTGATGTGATAGATACGGTTCAACTTGCTGTTTTTAATTAGCAGTATTATAGATTATGTATATAGTATCACTGAAGAAACGGCTTCTTTGATGCCATTAAAGTACAGCTAGGGGCTGGGGATTTAGCTCAGTGGTTCCGGCGCTTGCCTCGCAAGCGTAAGGACCTGAGTTCGATCCCCAGTACCAAAAAAGGAAAACAAAACTAAAATACAACTAGGGCTTGGGATTTGGCTCAGTGGTTTCGCCGCCTACTGGGCAGGCTCAAGGACCCGAGTTCGATCCCAGTACCAAAAAAAAAAATTTTAAAAAGGATGTTATGGGAGGTAGGTGTGGTGGTGCATGCCTGTAATCCCAGTACTCAGGAGGCTGAGGCAGGAAAATCACCATGAGTTGAAACAGTGAGTCAGCTGGGGAGTTAGCTCAGTGGTGCCTCACCTGCCTTGCAAGCCTAAGGTCTTGAGTTTGATCCCCAGTACCAGAACAACAACAAAAAGATGTTATGCAAATCATCCTCAAAGCTGTGAATTTCATGAGGTCCTAGGGATCGAATCATCACCAATTCCATGAGTTCCTTAAGAGTAAGGATGCTGATTTTGGGGACATCACTTATTTTGCTGAAGTGAGGTGGCCAAGTTGGAGTAAAATGCTGAAAAGATTTTGTGAATTGTGAAATGATACTGTCATTTATGGAAATCAAGGAATTTGAAGATGAAAAATTCCTCAAGAGTTTTGTATTTTTTTTTGGTACCAGGGATTGAATTCGGGATCTTGTACTTGCAAGGCAGGTGCAGTGCCACTGAGCCAAATCCCCAGCCATTTTTTTTTATTTGACTACTCATTTAAATGGGATAAATGTGTCATCAAGGTGAAAGTCAATTTATCTGTGCTGTATTTCAATACATTGTACAATACAGTGTACAAAATGGAGGGAGGAATGGAGAAAAAGAGTGAGATGTACCATGTACAGGTGCAAACTCCCAATGATGAGTGTTATCATTATGTATGCCTAAAATGTATCAATAAATGTTTTGCTGTAAAAAAATTTTTTAAAAAGATTATATGTTCCTCTTTTTACTTCTGTGGCTTCTTGTAGTGTGACTACAAGGCACTGAATATGAATTTGTTGAATTTAGTAGAAAAATTAGCTGTTGTCTTAAAAACGCTGAGTTAATACTCAGAGACAAATTTAGATCAGTATAGAAAGGTAAGGGCTATGACACCATCAGAGAAAAGATGAATTCATGTAGCTTGGAAAAAATGAATACACACTCTCAGGCATTCACAGTAGCCCATACATAATAAAAATAGCACTTTTATGGTAACAAGGATCACAGGAATCATATCAGACTAACCCCATTCAAGTTTTGGTACCTAACTGGAAATGGGGCAAGGACAACAGACGAGTTAAGAATAAATAATATTGGGCCAGAGATTTAGCTCAGTGGTTCTGCTGACTGCCTCTCAAGAAAAAGATCCTGAGATCAACCCCAGTACAAAAAAAAAAAAAAAAAAAAGAGTAAATAATATCATCAGGTCCTGAGCCTAGGTGCTAGGATGATGATGTATCACTCACCAAAATACAAAGGTGTGTGTGGGGGTGGTGGTAATGACTTCAGCATTTGAGATGCCAGTGATTTAACTCAGTGAAAAGATCAAAGAAACAGTTGCAGATGGGCTTGTGAAGAGCCCAGATACAGGCATTGGAGCCTATAGCTGAGGCTAATGAAAAATGTGGATGACTGAGGGCTGGAATAAGAAGGGATTAGAGGGACTGGTGAGGAAGGCAAGCAGGGGAAAGAGAGGAGCTGGGGAGCAGAATGCTATAGAAGCCAAGAGGGAATCTCAGTTCAAGCATTAGTTTCAGGATACAAATGATCCAGAAGGTGGTATGAGCGAAGGCCAGAGTGGGTTTGTTGATCTGGAAGTGTGTTGAATTTTGGGAGATGAGAGTGGGAGAGAGGAGGGGCTGGAAGCCAAACTGTCAGAAGGAAAGGAGCAAAGGAATAGAGAGAATGTAATGGGTAAGATAGAAGAAACCACTTTTCTCCCCAAATGGATTCATAAAAGAAGGCATTCTGTCCCTCAGTAGCCTGAAGGGATGCCAGGGTTCAAAAAGGTTCTGTTTGTTTTTTTGGCTGTGCAAGAGTGAAATTTGTTTGTTGACAGAGGGAAAATAACTGGAAAGCAGAAGATTTTGAAGTTCTGAGACAGAACACTTAATAAGCAGTCTGGTGAGGAGATGGGATGAGATGGAGATCCCTGAGGAAGGGCTGCCTTCAAAAGGAGTAAGGGCATCTTCCTATGAGTGAGAAGGAAAGAAAGGGTTAGGAGTGACAAATCAAGTAACTACATAAAGAGAGAGAAGAAAGGTCACCTCTAGGCATTCTCACCCTGCTTGAGCGAGAAGCTAGATTGTGAGCTGAGGCCACAGGGTTTGTTGAACTAGAGTTCCATCAAGATGATCCTGAGACAAAGATCTCAGGGATTGACCAGAGATGATTTAAAGTATTGCAAAGCAACATTTAGGTCCCAGGAGTCCTTTCGGATGGACATATCTCTTTAAAAAAAAATTTCTACTTGTCCTTCAACGTTCAACTCAAATGTTTCCTTCTGTGACTCATGGAGGTGGAATCTAAATCATGGGAGTCATTCCCTCTTCCCCACCTCCACAGTCTTTATGAAAATATTTACCATGTTGTATTTGAAGTTCTCTGTTCCTTCATTTGTCTCCCCTACTAGTTCCTGAGCTTCTCAAAGGTCACAATTCATCTCTGAATTCTCATCATCCTGTACCATGCCTAGCACATATTAGGTGCTCAAATAGTGCATGTGAGTGAGTGATATTTATCCCACTGATGGAAGCTGTCTTTGCTTATAGCACCTTTGACTACAGCAGAAAGTCACCAGAAAAGGCTGGCCCTCTGCTCCAGCTACATAAGATCTGAAAAAAGCCACACATGTAGGTGCATGTGAAATAAAAGCAAATTTAAACAATCATAGCCACAAACCAAATGTGAAATGCAAATGGTTTTCTCTAGACCTCTATGCAGTCCTGAATGGCAGGAGGAAGGAGTGGGAGGATGGGGACTGAGTGAAAAAAGCCAAGAGATAATATTCGGTTGGGAATGGCCTGATTTCCCAAATAGTAGAGTGTGTGGTCCAGAAGCAGAGCACTGCAGATGCACTTATTATATATATAAAAAAAAACCTTCGTGATATTTTTTTTGGAGGGGAATAAAATCTGTTTTGAATCTGTCTATCTCTCTAGCATAACCTTGTCTTAAAGAGCCACAGCTCCATGAAATTCTGTTTCAGAGGGAGTTCATTGAATTCAATGAGAATTCATGGTACCCAGCAACACCAGCAATATTGTTTCCTGTACACCTCCTACATGCTCTGTATGTCTTTCTTTATATTTTTTCTACCTTCCTGCTAGATGAGTGTGAGTATCCCTGTTTTATGTATGTGGAAATTGGACCCAAGAAGTGAGAAACCCAAAGTTAAAAACTGAATCTTTCTGACTGCAAAACCTATGCCCTTCCTTCTCTGATAAGCGATACTTTACCACGAGTGATCAGAGAGAGGCAGTGGTGGGCCACACTGAATGGAGACCGGCTTCATGGGCACCCCAACTGTTAAGGCAAATGGGGTCCCATGTTTTGAAGGTCCAGGTGATTAGGTTAATGTTCTGCTCTTGCTGTCTTGAAATTCTTAATAATTTTCTAACAAGGGGTCCCACATTTTCATTTTACATTCTGTCCCACAAATTATGTAGGTAGTCCTTTATGGGATTAGAGCATGGTGGAACTGGAAGAACTTTGAGAGGTTATTTGTTCCATGCTGATCCATCTTAAAGATGAGGAACCTGAGGCACAGAGAGGGAAAGCGGCCACCTTTGGTCACACAGCTCATGAGTGGCACAGCAGCAATAGAACCCAGAGACCCCGAGCTTCTTCTCTTACCACTCTGTCCCTTTGACAGCCTTGACAGTTGGAGATGAGAATTTCCCCCTTCACTCCAGGAGCTTATCTCTAGCCAAAATAGCATTTGTGGTCGACTTGGGTCAACTCATTTTACTCCTGGGCAAATGGTCCTGGCTTTTTTATAAAACAAAATGCACATAAACCTGAATGTGATTCCAGAAAACCACAATGACTACTCTGTGGTAAGAGAAACCTTTCGCTGAGTGTCTCACCTCTCTCTGCTGCCCAGCCCTCCCCTACATGTATTTCTTATGCTGGGGGTGTTGGTTCAGCCAGGATCAGGCAGAGTCCATTGCTAGAGCAGCCAGAACAAGGTCAGGCTCAAGGCCAAGGCCAGGCTCCTACCAAAGCTGACCCAGATAGGAGGGAACATTGACCCAAGGCATAGATATTTCACATCTACTAAATTGATGCCCCATCCAGCCCCATCAGAAGGGCCCTCTTAGAATCACTTCAGGTTATTAAATAGGTAACCAAGTATTTGTAAGTTTCTTCTCACCTTTTCCATGCCCACATACTTGGAGCTTATAATAATAAGGACATAGTGCTCTGTTTTACAGCCCAGAAAACATGTACATGCCTCAGATACACCAGAGTAGGTGGCTGTACTCAGTGGAGCGCCAGTAATGAGATGTACTGGATAGTTCTGAAGACCACATTCATCTACCACAGTCAAAAAGACAGGAGAGTGGCATGTACAGATGACAAGGAACTCTGGTTATGCTTTAAAAGCATTTATCTGGGTTTCCTGGGATTGTGGAAAGGTTTACAGGTAGGAAGAGTATGAGCATCTTCCATTTTAACTTTGCAAGAAGGGACAGACACACATAGTCACCACCTAACACAGAAGAACTACAGGGCAGGGAAATTGACCCCTGTAAGGGAATTGACATGATCCAAGGACCTTGAACAGAGCCTGGTACACAGTAAGTACTTGTCGTGCGAATGAATACTACTTGTGACTTTAAGTGTTATTACTTAATTTTAAGAATATCTTTGAAATATTTTTAAACAGAAAATTACAAAAAGTATATTCCCCTTTTATGCATATATATAGCTATATGCATAGATGAATATATATAAACACATACATAAATA